TTATTTCTATTTATAAAGTTTTGACGGGCAAATACCCCCCCCCCCCCGCCCCCCCCCCTCCCCCGCGCGTCGACAAGGGTAATTTGCTCCAGATTGAAAAAAATAAATAAATGATGATTTTAGGTCACCACTGGATTCCGAGAGTGGAGTAGACGGACTGTGAGGGTTGGCAGAGGGGTGGGGGATGGGAGTGATGGAAGAACAAATAAGGCGCTGGTAAGGTGATTGGTAGTGAATAGTTTATGCACACAGGGTTCACTGTTGCAACGTTCACCTTCCGAGATCAAGTGCAGAGTGCTGGGCCTTGCCTTTTTGCTTTTTTTTTTTTTGACCATGAAGTAACGAAACTACTGTTAAACACTAAAAAAAAAGCTAGTATGAAATAATTCGTATGTATATGAAAGCAATTTCTTTAGTACAAGGGGTTAATCAGGTTGAAAGAGGGTATATCAGGGGTCCCTAGGATATATCAGTGGTCCCTAGGATATATCAGGGGTTCCTAGGATATATCAAGGGTCACTAGGATATATCAGGGGTCACTAGGACATATCAGGGGGTCGTCGGCTAGCAACGACTCGAAGTGGGATTTTCAATAGCACTTGTAAGACCCCAGAAGAAGAAGAATGGATATGTAAAAAAAATATGTGTATTAAAAGGTAGACTCATAACGTTGATGGCATGCGAAATGAAGTGGAAATCCTACCTTGTCACACCATTACAACAAATTTGGCGACTTCTGTAAAATAAATGTGTGGGGCCCCATATTTTTTAAAGAGTTATATTACGTGCAAAATAAAAGACAAAAAGGTGTCGCCAATTTACCGGGTCAATCATCAATGTACCAATGCACCGCCCCACTTCTCGGACGTCATAGTTGTTCTCGCTCTTCAGGTCCGGAACCAGGCAGATGAAGACGAACTGCGTGGCCAGCCTGACCTCACACAGCCACCCCATGTGGCGGGCCGGGTTCAGCCTCACGAGGGCCATCAGTGGCCGCCTCAGACAGGTCAGCTCTCCGATCAGAATATTTGTGGCCACCGCGTTCTTGGGGATCTTCCTCTGGAATTTGGTGTTTTTCTGGTGATGCCAAGAAAAAAAAAAAAAATTGGAGAGGAAAAA